GCACCACGGGTTGGATGGTTTTCGATATTTGCAAATGATGTTCTTGCATATAGGCAGCAGGGGATCGACAGGCAACTATAGACAAAGTGACTGACTGGTGTGTTGGGATAGGTGCTGTCATCAACCCAGAAAAGGCAGCTGATTTATGGTGTTCTCTGGACAATAGAATTGTAAGAGCTAATGTTCCAGGTCTCACAATTAATGACAGAAACATCAAAAGAGAAAGCAAACTTGAGGTACCTGGGTATCACTTTCGATAGAAGCCTGTCCTTCAGGGATCATGTGGAGGCAAAATGACAAAAAGGACTCAATGCACCTAAGGTTATGACAGCCATGGACATAGAACAAACATTGTTGTTCACAATGTTCCAGCATTCGATCCAGTCAGTGATAGAATTGGAATGCTTACCATATCAAAGTGTCAGCTAATGAAACTTAAACGCATATAGAAGCCATGAGGGTCATTCTGGGATGTACAACAGATACCCTGGTAGTATGTTTGCGATATATACTTGCATTGCCAACTATTACAGATAGGTTTAAAGTTCTGCAGGCAAAGTCATATCTCAGAGTAGCTGCAGATAAGAAAAACCTCCTGCATGAAGCCCTAGACAGAGCTAAGGGTCACAGACTAAAAAAAAAAAAAAAAGGAAAGTCTAGGATGGCACAAGTTGAAGACACAATTAGACATGTGTGCAGTCTTGATAATATTGGGCGAGGAGAGGAGTGGGTCAGAAAACGTCCTGGCAAAAGTCAGAGGTGTAGGGTTCTGATCACAATGGGCTGTGGACTGGCCAGCGGGTGCTGCAGAATGGAAGTTCAATAATTGATTTATGATAATTCTCGCTCAGGTGATGTGAGAATCTACACAGATGGCTCTGTGTTGAGAGGCAGACAAAGCTGACCTGAGAATGGCAGCTTTACATACGTGTTGTAACTGTAAATGACTCTCACAAAGCATGGTGAGAAAGGTGGAGACTGGTATTTTTTGTGAAGAGTGGCAAGCATCGCTTTAAAGGTCCAGAACAGTTAGCATCCTTTGGATATTTTCCTCAGGAAAGCCGGTGTATTGGGAAATGAACCGACAAACAGACTGGCTGATTCTGTACAACTTAGTGGTGAACTGATGCGTGATAAGGTAGATACTGTAAGGGACCTTTGGGGCGAGTTAACAGTTTGGCGAGGAGTGCCATGGGATCTGGTGGACCATCAGCTCTCAAGGGAAAGGTGAGATGGATATACATTCAGACTGCCACTAGTACAACTGGAACTGGAACTCTGTGCTTGAAGATGGCGACGGAATACCCAGCGTGCTGTGATGTTGATTCTTAATTAAACAGCTGCAGAGAATCTGAAGAAATACCTGTCTGTAGCATGAAGTATGAGATACATCCTCTGTTGTTATACACTAATGCAAACCTGCTGGCTGGTCATGACTGCTGCTTTCATCAACCACAAACTGCAATTCTAGTAACATGCTGCTGATGGTGTCAACCTCTTTGTGACTGCCTTAGGCATTTAATGCATGTGTGAGCTGCTGGATTTTGCTAGGACTGATGTCTGACTTTTCACATGGGGTAGTGATAAATATTTTGGGTAGTTTTTCACTGGATCAGAGCAATTAGGTGGTGAGCCAGTTGGCAGGAAACTGCAACCACCACTGGAAATCTAAAACCTGATCTGTTGATGTTCCCATGTGAACCTCTAAAATGTCAGTCATGTACACGTCTCCGCCTTTATCGACATGCTTTGTCAGTTAAACTGCTCTAGCAACAACCAAAACCTCCATATACTACATGTCTCTTTGGCCACAAATAATTAAAAACTCTGGCAGTTCAAATGTAAGTAAAAATTTAAATAAAAATCTATGCCACTAAAATCTGGCACACCTGCAGATTAACGACAGCACAAGACAACCATAATTTATAATATGACTGAAAACTTGAAAAAACAAAAACAAAAACAACATATTTACAGCTTCTCTGAATAAAAAAAAAAAAAAAAAAAAAAGAACACAGCAGTGTACATTAAACTGTTATTGTCATCTCTGACTTTCACCAGTTGTTGCATTTCCTTTTTGTGTTTTGCTTTATTTGTCATCGTCGTTTGCTGATGAAGGCTTGCCATCACAGTGTCCCTTGTTTACTGCAATGTGTTTTGTAAAGCTCAATAATGTTTTATGCACCTCAAACGTTTTTACAAACTCATAGCTTTACTATTTGATATTTTTACAAATCTGACGTCTGCTTAATATTTTATATTCATAAAAATGTTTTGGCTGTCACCAGAATATATTATCTTATTGTCTACATGTCCTGACTGTCACCAGAATATATTATCTTATTGTCTACATGTCCTGACTGTCACCAGAATATATTATATTGTTATTGTCTACATGTCCTGACTGTCACCAGAATATATTATATTGTTATTGTCTACATGTCCTGACTGTCACCAGAATATATTATATTGTTATTGTCTACATGTCCTGACTGTCACCAGAATATATTATATTGTTATTGTCTACATGTCCTGACTGTCACCAGAATATATTATCTTATTGTCTACATGTCCTGACTGTCACCAGAATATATTATCTTATTGTCTACATGTCCTGACTGTCACCAGAATATATTATATTGTTATTGTCTACATGTCCCGACTGTCACCAGAATATATTATATTGTGATTGTCTACATGTCCTGACTGTCACCAGAATATATTATCTTATTGTCTACATGTCCTGACTGTCACCAGAATATATTATCTTATTGTCTACATGTCCTGACTGTCACCAGAATATATCATAACCTATTGGATATCCACTGCTTCTTGAGCTCCATCTGTCACAGATGTTTACCGCCCAGAAAGCTGGGTCGAATAACTTTATCCAGCTTTATCACACAACCCAGACTCTCACACAACCCAGACTCTCACACAACCCAGACTCTCACACAACCCAGACTCTCACACAACCCAGACTCTCACACAACCCAGACTCTCACACAACCCAGACTCTCACACAACCCAGATTCTCACACAACCCAGACTCTCTCTGCAGTTTTTAAAAGTCCCACTTTGTCATGCATTCATGTAAAATCCAATCTTCTTACAGTGATACATGAAGCACTGATTAAGATTCCGAGGATGAAAAAACAAAAACAGTTACAATAAATAAACTAGAGCCACTTTATGGCTCGCTGAAGAAAGTAAGATACATTTTCAATTATACTCGCCTGTGTAGCAAAATATACACTTACTGTAAATAAACACAGCAAATACAAGAGCACTGATTTACCAGATGTGCACTAACTTTTATACAAAGAATAAAAATTCAAAGATGCCAAACTTGCTGAAATAATATCACACAACTGACATTATGGAAGAACATTTACACATCCACTACTCCATCTGTCCTCAATCCCAGTCACTGATACGTGGGTTCACTTATTATGCCTGGTACATAGAACATGTTCTTATGGGTGACGCATCAAAATATATGTGCTTAAACAACACTGTAAGGCGATGCAATGCTCAATCAAAAACTTACAAAATAAGTTTCCCCAAAAGACGGTCTATAAAAACATACTGACACATCTTGTACAAAAACTGTATGACATGCCAACCAAATATTAAAGCTGCAGACATCAGCTCATTCGTAGAGGTTTTTTTTTTTAATGAACAGTATAAACTGCTTCCGATATTCTTCTATGCTTAAATTTACTCTTAATAACAACAAACTTCTGAAACATTTTTATGGTGTAAAAAAACAAACAATTTGTATATATTTATATGTAAGGTTAAGTGTTTTGGGCTCTCATGCAGGAAACACATGTTCGAATCCTTGGTCAAGCGATAATGTTATGGATTTGTCATGTTAGGAGTAAAAATAAAACCCTAACCTGCAGTGCAAGGCCACTGAGCTAACCATGCAGCCCTAAATCCTCCAGCTCTAATGCTCCCTGCACACACGGCACAGCTGGTCAATGTAGACACCCAATGTCTGGCTAGTAGAGGACCCGTGTCCAGCCAGGCCTATGGTGCCAGACCAATATTTGTAGAGACCAATGGGCACTCAGACCAATATTTGTAGAGACCAATGGGCACTCAATTGGTGAGGCAGTGTTTTCCTGGACACTGATAATGCATACTTTAGCTGGGGTCCAGTGTTTTCCTGGACACTGATAATGCATACTTTAGCTGGGGTCCAGTGTTTTCCTGGACACTGATAATGCATACTTTAGCTGGGGTCCAGTGTTTTCCTGGACACTGATAATGCATAATTTAGCTGGGGTCAGCCTGAGAGCCTCAGATGAACTGTAACAACCTGAATGCGCAAGTTCATATAGCAAACATATATTACAATATTTGTAGAGACCAACAGGCACTCAGACCAATATTTGTAGAGACCAATGGGCACTCAATTGGTGAGGCAGTGTTTTCCTGGACACTGATAATGCATACTTTAGCTGGGGTTTAGTGTTTTCCTGGACACTGATAATGCATACTTTAGCTAGGGTCAGCCTGAGAGCCTCAGATAAACTATAACAACCTGAATGCGCAAATTCATATAGCACACATATATTACAAAATAGGCAATAAACCATTCTGCAAAAACAGGATGTTATGACACGATTTCTAGTTTAATGAATAATTTATGCATAAAACAAGAACAAGCAGCATGGTGGACAGTGAGCATAGGACCAGTAGAGGTCTGGATTCCAATCCCTAATGAGCTGGAAGTTTGTTCCTGACTTCAATAACTCTATGGTCAATTTGTGTTTTGGGGTAGTAGCTGATTAAGCTTTGACCTTACAATGCTGAATCACATCATTTCACATTTATATGCAGACATGTATCAAGAAATTCTCTTTTCCATGCCACAGATAAGAGAATCATTTCTACAACACAATGTATGCCGCTTGGGAATCCAACTGATGATTGCAGACACACACAACAAGTACACAGCAGAATATACTTAAACACAGAAACACGTCACACTATGAAACAGTAGTATCATTTTGAGTCTGTATCTCTTTGGTTTCTTCTTGAGACTGTGTCTCTTGGTTAGATTCTAGAGTCTGTATCTCTTTGGTACTTTCTTGGGACTGTGTCTCTTGAAAAGATTCTTCATGAATGCGGATCATGTCTTTGATTATCTGATCAATGTTGTTGACATCTCCTAACTCAGTTCCTGGCACGATGTAGCCTAGAAGTTTGTGAATATTGACATTGATTTCAGTCAGTTTCTTCTCAGTATCTTCCAACTGTTGACTCCTCAATGAAAGCTTTGTTTGAAGCTCTTCCACCACTTCAGCCTGATCATTGCTGTCCCTCATCCACTCACTGTCTTCTGTTTGAGATTCAGCAGTGGACACGTTGTGTTCTAGACACACGGCCTGTAACGACTTGTCCGCTGTTCCAACCCCTGAGAGATGTTTATGCTTCACCTGAGAGACCTGATGATTAAAGCTGCAGACATCACCAGCAGCTGTGCAGAGTTCCAACATCTCCCCCAGAGAAAGCATGTCCAGGTCTGTCTGCATGATCACATCATGTGTTCTGTGGACACTACACTCAGTAGCTGCAGTATCTGGAGACGAGAGGTTCTGGAGATGGGACATGGAAGCACACATATCATGGAACGACAGCGATGATGAAGAACTAGGATGTAGCGGCTCAGTATCTTGATTTTTGCCAAAGAAAGTCATGTCTACTTGGTTCAAACCTGGTTTTGCTGCCTGTTTCTCACATTTCCAAACATTTGTTTCAACGTCGACTGAATTTTCACCATCAATGCCAGAAGGTTTTAGTGATTGCTTACTGTCTGATTTTAATACCGGCTTTGTGCGCACTATCTGAACCCTGTCTTCTACCGATTCATTGTTGTCTTCATCAGTATTATGTTCACTGGGTTCATTATCTTCATGACCAACAGCTGAATTGTCAATATTCTCAAAAGCGTTGCTTGTTTTTGGAGAAACTGAGTCCTCCAGATTGGGAATGATCTTGCTGAAGGAACTTCCTTCTAGCAGATTAGCAGGAGAATCAGCTTCAGCTTTGTCCTGATCCCTTGCCACATCTGGTGAATCATTTTCTTCTCTTGTCTCTGACTCACACTCATCCCTACTATTCTCATGAAAATCTACAGAAGCATGTTCTTTAGCCAAAGAGCCATCTATTTCATGGCTCTCCTCCAGATGTGAACGTCCATTAGGATCTTGTTTGCCAACAGAATCTCCATCGTCACTGAGACCTTGGTTATAGCCACCACTCCCATCTTCTGTACTGTTGCTTCGGCTTTTCTCCGTCACAGCACAATGACGTCTGTCAATATGAGGTTCACTAGAATCTCCTTTCTCATCAACAGTGGAATAAGCTCTGTAGTCACTGTCATCATCATCCACTCTCCCATCAAAGTCACTGTCGCCTGCATTTTCAGCATCAGATTCCCTTCCGTCCCCACCTCCAGCATCACCCTGGGGATCAACTGCCATTTTGCTAAGTCCATTCTGAGAAGCCAAACGTCTATGTTCTGACTTGTGCACATTTTGTCCTACTCTTGCTTGGACAAGTGTTATGGCGGTGTCTTCAGCATCTTCTGACACGCTCCCTGAAAACTCAGTGCTGCCATCTGTAGGCTGAACATGAGGAGGTTCTGAAGCTGTTGTCAGGGATGCCGCTGGTAGTTCTTGTGAAGAAGTTTCCACCGTTTCTTGCTTGGTTTCAGCCAGCGCTGCTTCTGATGATGATGGCTTATTAGAGTCATCTGAAACAAAGAAACAATCAAAAACATGAAAAAACTAAAACTATAAATTAGAGGTTGTTTTATTGCCACCATTGTTTAAACTGAAAGCATTGCCTCTGTCACATCATACATAAGGATCAGAGACAATTATTTTTACAGGGACAGGGAGTACAGATGGTCATGTCCAAAGTGCTGTGATGGCAGCACAGGACAATAATTATCCTTTCCCTTTATGGTCAGTTCAAACATCATCTATTCAACACAATGAAAACTGGACAAAAGCCTCATGTTTACAAAATATGAAAAGGACAGTTTCATGAAGTACATGAAGCAAACATCAATAACACTCCAGCAGATGGAGATCTTAAACAGAAAGCTGGCCAGACTAAATGTCAGAATTAGACCTAACACAAAACCAAAATTCCCCATCAATTAAGGAAGTTAAAAATGAATTTTTTAAAAATCAGGTAAATTAATTATCACAGGAATATTACTAATGTTCTAAGGAATATACGCCATTATTATGTCTAATTAGAATTAACAAATTATAGCATTTTCTACTTTTGAAACATTCAAATGTGTTACTACATATCAGTTAAATGTTGTAAATTGTTGCTTGTTTAAACAATGAATACAGGAAACATAACTTTAACACTGACATTTCATTTCAGAATTTCTCATAGAAACAGTGTCAACTGAAAGAAAGACATAGTCCAAACATTGTTGTTTGGACATTTTCCATCTTCTCAACGAATGAACTAATAGAATATACTCTCATATCTGCCTGTGATACATCAGATAATAGCTGTCACTGGGACCTGGTTGTTCAGACTGTTTCATTTCTGTCCAGCATGCACATATTTTTTATCACGAATCATTTGAGTAAAGGACCTCTTTTCATGCCTTTAGGCATATAAGGCAAACAGGGTGAGACCTATTCTATAGGCCTATTGGCTCTTGGTGGGTTATGTCATTATGCCACCGCCTTTACTTCCAGTACTTTTACTTGGTAGCCATTTACGACTAGGTAAGCCAAGGTCATTATGAAAAACAAAGTCCAGCACTAGCCAGACTTGAACCCACAATCTTCTGATCGCAGGTCTAGCCGCTACCTCGCGGCGACTCCCATTTTATAATAAACATTACATAATATTCATAAGCAGTGAACAAATGTTGAAGAGCCCTTTAAAAAAACAACAGTTGTTAGGTTATATTTAATCATTTTATTTTAAATGTCAGAAAAAGGAAATGCTGATGTGAGGGGGTCAAGCAGTTTGCCTCAAGCTTTGAAAGTTGAAGGATCGATTTCAGATGCCAGTCTTCGGTTCATTAATGTATTTGTTTTGGAGACCCCTAGGGGCTGCTGAGGTTGTGCAGTTGTGTACAGAGCACTTGCAGGTCTCTTACGAGCTGCTGAGGTTCTGCAGTTGTGTACAGAGCACTTGTAGGTCTCTTACAGGCTGCTGAGGTTGTGCAGTTGTGTACAGAGCACTTGTAGGTCTCTTACAGGCTGCTGAGGTTCTGCATTTGTGTACAGAGCACTTGTAGGTCTCTTACAGGCTGCTGAGGTTCTGCATTTGTGTACAGAGCACTTGTAGGTCTCTTACAGGCTGCTGAGGTTCTGCATTTGTGTACAGAGCACTTGTAGGTCTCTTACAGGCTGCTGAGGTTCTGCATTTGTGTACAGAGCACTTGCAGGTCTCTTACAGGCTGCTGAGGTTCTGCAGTTGTGTACAGAGCACTTGCAGGTCTCTTACAGGCTGCTGAGGTTGTGCAGTTGTGTACAGAGCACTTGTAGGTCTCTTACAGGCTGCTGAGGTTCTGCATTTGTGTACAGAGCACTTGTAGGTCTCTTACAGGCTGCTGAGGTTGTGCAGTTGTGTACAGAGCACTTGCAGGTCTCTTACAGGCTGCTGAGGTTGTGCAGTTGTGTACAGAGCACTTGCAGGTCTCTTACAGGCTGCTGAGGTTCTGCAGTTGTGTACAGAGCACTTGTAGGTCTCTTACAGGCTGCTGAGGTTCTGCATTTGTGTACAGAGCACTTGCAGGTCTCTTACAGGCTGCTGAGGTTGTGCAGTTGTGTACAGAGCACTTGCAGGTCTCTTACAGGCTGCTGAGGTTCTGCAGTTGTGTACAGAGCACTTGTAGGTCTCTTACAGGCTGCTGAGGTTCTGCATTTGTGTACAGAGCACTTGTAGGTCTCTTACAGGCTGCTGAGGTTCTGCATTTGTGTACAGAGCACTTGCAGGTCTCTTACAGGCTGCTGAGGTTCTGCAGTTGTGTACAGAGCACTTGCAGGTCTCTTACAGGCTGCTGAGGTTCTGCAGTTGTGTACAGAGCACTTGCAGGTCTCTTACGAGCTGCTGAGGTTCTGCAGTTGTGTACAGAGCAATTGTAGGTCTCTTACAGGCTGCTGAGGTTGTGCAGTTGTGTACAGAGCACTTGCAGGTCTCTTACGAGCTGCTGAGGTTCTGCAGTTGTGTACAGAGCAATTGTAGGTCTCTTACAGGCTGCTGAGGTTCTGCAGTTGTGTACAGAGCACTTGTAGGTCTCTTACAGGCTGCTGAGGTTCTGCATTTGTGTACAGAGCACTTGCAGGTCTCTTACAGGCTGCTGAGGTTCTGCATTTGTGTACAGAGCACTTGTAGGTCTCTTACAGGCTGCTGAGGTTCTGCATTTGTGTACAGAGCACTTGTAGGTCTCTTACAGGCTGCTGAGGTTCTGCATTTGTGTACAGAGCACTTGCAGGTGGTTGTGTTTGTGTGCATCTTTTCCATTCCCTCTGTTAAGCTTTCTAATCACATTTTGTGTTATATTTAGCATTTCTATCAAATTTAGGTCTAACCCTATATGCCCAGTATGCCTAAAGGTGACGAAGAGTGTCCTTTTGGTGTATAATCTCATCATCTGTCCTGTCTGAGCTCATTTTCACTGTCACTGTTGATTATTATTCTGCCAACCCTCCAGTCATCATCTACTCTATTTTCTTCCATTGATTCATCCGTTCTTACCTAGCTGCTGGGAGGGCAGAGATGTTAGCCATAAGAGACCAAATCTAGTACAGCGAAGCTTATCCTCTCAGCTAGGAACATTTTTTGATATCCAATATGAATCTTATATGCGGACAGCAACGCAAAGAGCATGAACTCAGCAGCTCCAAGACTTTAAAAGAAAACTGCACATGTTAACCAATAGATGCAGCTTGAAACTGAACTAACAACCATCAGGACAAATGAACAGACTCACTGCTCCCTAACAACCATCAGGACAAATGAATAGACTCACTGCTCCCTAACAAACATCAGGACAAATGAATAGTCTCACTGCTCCCTAACAAACATCAGGACAAATGAACAGACTCACTGCTCCCTAACAAACATCAGGACAAATGAATAGACTCACTGCTCCCTAACAAACATCAGGACAAATGAATAGACTCACTGCTCCCTAACAAACATCAGGACAAATGAATAGACTCACTGCTCCCTAACAAACATCAGGACAAATGAATAGACTCACTGCTCCCTAACAAACATCAGGACAAATGAATAGACTCACTGCTCCCTAACAAACATCAGGACAAATGAATAGACTCACTGCTCCCTAACAAACATCAGGACAAATGAATAGACTCACTGCTCCCTAACAAACATCAGGACAAATCAGTCTCACTGAACAACCATCAGGACAAATGAACAGTCTCACTGCTCCCTAACAACCATCAGGACAAATGAACAGTCTCACTGGACAAATCCCTAACAAACATCAGGACAAACGAACAGTCTCACTGCTCCCTAACAAACATCAGGACAAACGAACAGTCTCACTGCTCCCTAACAACCATCAGGACAAATGAACAGTCTCACTGCTCCCTAACAACACAAACATCAGGACAAACGAACAGTCTCACTGCTCCCTAACAACCATCAGGACAAACGAACAGTCTCACAGCTCCCTAACAAACATCAGGACAAATGAACAGACTCACTGCTCCCTAACAACCATCAGGACAAATGAACAGACTCACTGCTCCCTAACAAACATCAGGACAAATGAATAGACTCACTGTTCCCTAACAAACATCAGGACAAATGAATAGACTCACTGCTCCCTAACAAACATCAGAACAAATGAACAGTCTCACTGCTCCCTAACAACCATCAGGACAAATGAACAGACTCACTGTTCCCTAACAAACATCAGGACAAATGAACAGACTCACTGTTCCCTAACAAACATCAGAACAAATGAACAGTCTCACTGCTCCCTAACAAACATCAGGACAAATGAACAGACTCACTGTTCCCTAACAAACATCAGAACAAATGAACAGTCTCACTGCTCCCTAACAAACATCAGGACAAATGAACAGACTCACTGTTCCCTAACAAACATCAGAACAAATGAATAGACTCACTGTTCCCTAACAGACATCAGGACAAATGAACAGACTCACTGTTCCCTAACAAACATCAGGACAAATGAATAGACTCACTGTTCCCTAACAAACATCAGAACAAATGAATAGACTCACTGTTCCCTAACAACCAAGGACAAATGAATAGACTCACTGACAAATGAATAGACTCACTGTTCCCTAACAAACATCAGGACAAATGAATAGACTCACTGTTCCCTAACAAACATCAGAACAAATGAATAGACTCACTGTTCCCTAACAAACATCAGGACAAATGAATAGACTCACTGCTCCCTAACAAACATCAGAACAAATGAATAGACTCACTGTTCCCTAACAAACATCAGGACAAATGAATAGACTCACTGTTCCCTAACAAACATCAGGACAAATGAACAGACTCACTGTTCCCTAACAAACATCAGGACAAATGAACAGACTCACTGTTCCCTAACAAACATCAGGACAAATGAATAGACTCACTGTTCCCTAACAAACATCAGAACAAATGAACAGTCTCACTGCTCCCTAACAAACATCAGGACAAATGAACAGACTCACTGCTCCCTAACAAACATCAGAACAAATGAACAGTCTCACT